GTCGGCGCCATAGTCTCATTGGATCAACCTCATAGATCTTTGCGGCGCGTCGGAGAGTTAATTTTCGGTCATTTTTAAGGGCACGAAGTGCGAGAATAACATTAGCTTCACTATTGAATTCAGGCATATTGGGTGGTGAAGAAACAGTTGACGACGTAGACATGTTGTAGGTTGAGGGATTTTTGTAACACTCACGTGTTTGTAACACTCGCTTATCATGGACGTTATCCGAATTCCCATATGGTGCTCAAGGTCAACAAAAATTATGTGTGGAAGAAAGTTTTCACGGGGCAATTACAGCTCGTAAAGCATTCATCGACATTACTTTTGAAAACAACATCCCTAGCACAAAATCACATGTGATGCACGTCACCTTCATGAAGACTGCGAAAGTCAAGCAACACGGAGTGCTTAAGCTTTACGACCGGCGTTACCCTGGACGCATTCGTCAAGCTAATGGCACAGCCGCAGCCACAGCTCCTTCGGTTGCAGAAGATGCTGCGTATCGGACATTCGTGCGTCAAGGAAAAATGGATGTTTTCCCGTTAGCCCTGAAACGCATCTACGAAACCGATCCCGAGGCCTGCGCGAGCGACTTTCTTCACAACCACAGGTTTGGCGGTGCAAGTTTTGGCGGTGCCGAGTCTGATAGCATGGCAAGATTTGAAGCTGCTACTTGGTACGAGTGTGACCAGCACTTCAAGACCGAATTAAAGGCGTATAAACAGTTGGAACGACTTCAAGGCAACGGCATACCACGCCTCTACGCACATGTGCGAATTCCATATGATGCAGTTCCCCAAGGTGCTCGAGACGACACACCACGGGACCAATTTCTTTGTGTTCATGGTCTTCTATTAGAAGACATTCCTGGCCCCACACTCGAAGACTGGCCTACATCTGACATGGCTCCAAACATGTTAAAGATAGTAGCACAAGGCGCTGCCGAAACGATATAGCAGATCAGTACATCGGGCGTTCTTCTCAAAAAGACTTGCAAAAATGTTATAGTGAATAACGCCCACATCCAAATGCCCTGGATCGTCGATTTTACTGAGGCTATGTTCAAAGAAGACTTGGACAAGCTTGAGATTAAGAAACTTTCCATAAGTCCCATGTTGTTTGCACATGTCCAAATCCTCCAGCCTACTTTGGAACGCGCATATTAGGAAAAGGCGAAGAAGAGACCGTTCCTGGACTTGTTTGCTGAAAGCTTCGAGGAGATCCTTTCTCAGAAAGGGATAGACCGGACTGGGGTTGTGATTCGCAATTATCAGCCCATAATTGACGAAATCGATCAGTGGTTTCGGGGCGAACGGGATGTACGGCCTTCGTACTTAGTAATGTGATTGAGAGGATGAAGTTGAGTGCTGGAATCAGGTCTTGAACGAAGAGGTTTATGAGGGCGATGGTAACTCAAGGTGGATGTTCAGAAACTCGCAAGATCGATCCCCTTTGTAGGTAGTCACAATACGTAGACATATTTATTTCAACAAGGGCACTGGACAACCATTGTTTGTCGAATAGACTATTAGCTCTTTTCTTTTCTGTTGTAATCTACAAATCCTGCTGACGGCCCATCCCGACTAATCATGTAACCGAACCGATTTGGCTCGTTGAGCACTAGTGGTGGCATGTCCTTATTGTCTTCAATCCTCAGAAACTGATCATGTTCCCTCCCCCAAAGATCCTTGCCTTCTCTCACTGCAGCAGCAATTTTATCTTTGTCTCTATATTCCTCACGATTCATCCACCGATGAGAAAAGCTCTCCATCTTGTTGAGAAATTGATCTATGGTCGGAAAACAGCTGCTGCAATGCCAGCCCGCGTTACTCAGCACGTCCCTCTCGAGGAAGCGAAATGGACGGAAGCCGCCGTCTCCGTTGCGAAGGTTGGTGGGTTTGAGGGTTCGGTGTCCTTGGTAGTATGTCGCTTGAGGGTGCTGCCATTCTGGACCGGTGTGGAGGAATTGGAATGAGTAGTAGTAGAATTTGGAAGAGAGTGTTAGGCGGCGGGGGAAGTTGCAGTATTGGAGGATGAGGAGGGTTTGTGGACGCGGTATTTCATCAACGTCGGCTACAATTAGAACGTCTCCTTTGTTTGGGGCTCTTGGCCCGTCGAGACTGAGCATGACTTGGTCGAAGGGGGCGTCTCTTTGCAAGTCTTCGTAGTCCCAGGCGCGATTTGGGTCGAAGTTCGATGGGAAGACTAACTCGTGATAGATTATCTTGTGATGATATCGACGGAACCTGTCCCAGTTCTCTTTGAGGATAAGGGGTTTCGAGTTGGCTTGGAATGATTTGGGCGATTCAACGATGATGAAGTAGTCGACGTAGTCGTACAATGCATCGAGTCGTATTTCAAGAAAGTCCAGCTCGTCGTTTATCATGAGCATATCGTAGACTTTGCGCTCGCTTGAGGGACTCTTGGGCACAAAAGCTGAGTATCCATGGACGGAACAGAGATCATGCGCAGCCCTGGAGGCATAGAGCTCCGAAGTCTTCCGGCCATAATGTGAAGTCGGGCTCAAAAAGTCGATCGACTGTAGCGACTCGGTAAATACTGCACGAGAGCCGCGAAGAGGCCGGAACGTCCACCAGAGCAGGGAACAAATGCCAATGAATAGAATACCTCTGAACACAGCTTTCGGTACCATATTGACCTGAGCATGAAGAATGGAGAGCGAAATGTGCCCAAGACAAGAAGGATCTGACATTCCCCTTTGCTGTTACCTAATCTGACTCAGGGCTGTTGGTCGCACACGGAAGTCGGCATTTGTGGTTACATGTGACATCCTGCAGCCAACAACATCTGATTACTGCGATACGAGCAGGACATTGTTGTCTTGAGGGAGTTTTGATTGGTTGGTGAAAGGTGAAACAAGGTAGTACGCATGAGGGGACTTTTGTGCATCCTTTATGATGATCAACCAACAGCATAGCTACGGTATTTCTGTTACTAATGGCATATTGCACCACGAGGGTTGGGGAGACAAGAAAACTCGGGGCCTTGATCCTAAATGACAAAAAGACTTGGGTAACTCAGTCTAAGCTTAGGGGACTCTTTACTAAGTTTATTTTTGCACCCTTTTTTAAAGTGTTGTGTTTTCTTTCTCCGCGAAGGTAGGATCTCAATTTTAGGGATAAGAATACTCGCTCCATTGAGGCGTGGCCTGATCTAAATAAGCCGCAATTGACGAGTCCTGCATTAAGAATGTGGGCAAATACAAGGTTGTATCACGACGGATGATCGACCGGGCATATTCCCTCTTGGCCAGCGGGAGCTAAACAACTGCCGATCCTAACCTGCCCACCACGAATCGGGGCATTTTCTACGAGTAAGCATCCATCAGTGCAATAGCGCCACTCACAACAGGAGCCACAACGACCAGTGCGCGCCCTGAAGGATCTGGTCAGACACTCAAGCGAGGCCCGGGAGCCGGTCAGAAAGCGCTATGACCAGAAGGACAAAAGAACCCCGAGGTTGGCTGACACAGGTACTTTACGAGAGGTCCAATCGCCGATTACGCCGGCACAGGACCTTTTGTTATGCATAATCCTGAAGTGAGCCAGTGATAACTCCGTTAGCAGGGATCTCAGCCCTGACGCCGTTCAGCTTACCCGCGGCCCGTACGAATGAATGTAACTCTTCGTAGGGGTGCGGAAGAGGGGTTAACCGCTGATCTCGTCCGAGCAAGTTCTTTGAATTGGTGACGAAGTCCAAAAGGTCGAATTTGAGAACATTGAACCTGTCTTGGGTAGAGAAAATTATCGTTTGCTTTTCAAGTCTAATATTTTGTAATTAGAATCTGATAGAGGGCGGTTGCAGTAATACAATACTAGTCAACTCAGAAGTTTCTGGGTAGAGTTTGCTTTAGATCATTCTATAGGCGATTAGTTATGATTCTTAACATATATCAAGGTAGCTTAGCTCACCTGTTTTCTTACCGGGACCATCCAGGAAGGATGCATCTTTTCTTTGAATACATGAGAGATTTTTGAGGCCTACGTTCTATTTTCCCTTTACAGATCATCCAAGCTGGGACGAAGTGATGTATCGATCCTACCGAAGTCTGACATACATTCCTCTTCAACGTTCACGTTCCTTGGTTGACATGTTGGGTGTCTTGAACTATGAGTAAAGCTAAATAGTGAGATATACCTCCCTGTGACGTCGACATTACTTCAACCTGAACTTAAATGCTCATCGAAAGTTTCTGTGCACTTTGAAGCACGAGGCATTCCAATGGCAGTACATGTATCTCTACTTAAGCAGGTGAAAGAGAGAGTCGTATGATGCTGCACTTCCACGGACCGTCGGTGCTTAGAATCTGATGTGCATCTGCTCAAGACGCACTGAGGCTTACCAACACGAATTGGCCCCCAGTGTTGAACATCAGATGCTTCTGAGTGACGTCGAGAGGGAATCCTTCCTTACTCCCATGGTCAGGAATGTCTCCGTGCATGACATGAGGATCAAGTTGAAAGATACACCTAATTTGAGTCCTTCACTTGTCAGCAACGGCATGCCACCATGTGATTCCGAGTGCCAATTATTTACATCACGGTGATAATCGCTCTCCTCTCAGCTATAAAAGGCCCCTATAGTCTCAATTTTACCAGATATCACCACAAGCTTCTCCCTCTTCAATAATCACTTGATCAAACAAAACCCCTCAAAATGAAGACTGCCTTCTTCAACATCGCCGCTCTGGCCCTCACCATCTATGGTGTCTTTGCCAACCCCGCTCCTAACGGAATGGCAGTTGACATCTCCGAGCGCGACGGTGTTCTCGAAGTCCGTGAAGTTGTAAGTCCACTTCACCTTTCCAGCAAGTAACTCAAATATTGATGCTCAAAGCCCCGTGCCGAGGCTGGCATCCAGTGCAGAGAGTGTGTTCATCTCGGTGGTCGCTGCACCATTGGTGATGGAAGCTGCTATGCTTCTGAGCATGCTAGTTGCCGCTGGTGTGGCAATAACTGCAAGTCTCGATGTATTGGTGATGGCCAGACTTGTGAGCAGTGGTGTCTTTAGATGCCAAACAATTGGTCATATCTGGCCTTGGTGCTTATTTGCACGCCTGGATGAGTGGTGGAGAAAAGATAACAGTATCACGCTCTTTAACATGACAGATACTTGGAAACAGGCTAGCTAGCTCAGTACACTCGTTTTATTGAAGTCATTGTTATGTCTCTCATCACATTGGGCACTTTTGATCCTGACATTCGACTATGCCTGTCCTGGGTGAACGATACTGCAGACTAGGCCCTTCGAAATGACGGTGTTGCATGATTCTCGCCTCAGCCTGATATCCTTCTGACTCTGATCAAGCTCTTTCAGCACCAGACCGAGTCCAATTTCCTTTCCATCCTTCGCAATAGGAACCATCTTTCCATCCCGTTTCCTGAAGCAACCGTTCACCAAAACAGCATCAATATCGCGGGCCTCACTGTAAGTCACAATCGCCGCGACTGGTTCCTCCCTCGCCGATGCGCCAAATGCCAAAGATTGATCTCGGGAGAATATCACGATATCGGCCCTTTTCCCAACTGCAATAGACCCTATCTCACTCTCCATACCAACAGCCCTCGCAGCTTCAATAGTCGCTTTGTTGAATACGTCGTGACTTGTTTGATCGAATTTATCGACCTTTTGGCCTTTTTCTTTATACTTCAGTGTCTTTTGGAGACGGGGGAAAAGAAGAGCAGTTCTAGCTGCTTGCATAAGAGATGACGATGTGAGGCAGTGACAGTCTGCGCCCAGGGAGGTGGTGAGGCCTGGTTCGAATAGAAGATGCCAGCCCATTGAGCCTTGTGCTTCTGTAGCCGGTGTGCATGCTAGAGGGACGCGGTGTTTCTTAAGGATGCTGAAGTCTTCATCATCCATGTAGTTTCCATGTGAGATGACAATGGTGTAGTCATCTCCTGGGGCAGGGAACAAAGAGTACTTCTCAAGAGCC